ATTATTTGTTCTGTTTTATTTTAGGATTCAAAATAAGGGAAAGAGGGAGAAGTTAGGGCACGTATAGCAACTTGGTTTGTGTGATAAAACGTTTTGTGAAAATATCCAAGATGGTGATATTATTGACTAACTCACTCTCGTGATACAAAAAAAAAACTACATCAAAGACCTTGACGGCAGCAACGTTTCGTTTATTATGACAAGGGTTTGTAGACAGGAGAAGGTAGTTAAAAGGGCAAAAAACTTTTCCTTCACCGGTAGTTGTAGCGAGTGCATTAATCTGACACATTGTTCACCTGTTAAAATCTTAAAAAGTCTGGTCGTAAGCGTGACCATATGTTAACCGTCACTTCTGCAAGAACTATTGAAGCTGGAAAAATAATTGGACTTTGCTTTTTTTTCCTCTAACTGTTGACCAGCTTTCCTTGACTATTTTTTTCTGTGCCAGCCCTTCCGCCTTGATTCATACTCTCGGCCGCTCTTCAACAGACTATTTTTCAGTTGTGCCCTGAGTATCCTAGCCTTAAGTGAAAGCGAGGCTGGAGTTTCAATAGAGATCTTACATAAGATAAAAATCATGCAATTGCACATGAATGGCACTGAAGTTTCTATCAAAACAAAGTCTTTACCGGTGTGTTTTGTCTTTCTCAAGATTAAAACTTAAGGCCTGTCCAAACATTGTATCGCTCAATGGCTTTGAGCTTAAATCTCATTTTCAAAGCGACAACAGTCAATGCAAGGCAACTTCCCTGCGTAAAAAAGCGGGTTTCCCAAAACGACGTTTAAGCATGTGATTTGCCACGTAGTAAAGTTTCCAAAGCCCGTCAAGATTTCTCTACCCCTTCCAAAGGTCTTCACGAAGGTGTTCATTTTCAACAGGCAAATTGCCACATCTTTGGAAACTCGCTAACATCACACCTTTGTTCAAAAGAGGCAGTAAGACTGACAGGAATAATTATCGCCAGATCTCATTAACATCAATAGTGTGCAAGATCGCGGAGAAAATCGTTAAGTCTCGAGTGATGGATTTTTGGCGAAACATAAATATCCTTAACCCGAACCAGTTCGCTTACATGGAGGGCCGATCAACGCTTTCGGAGCTTCTTTCTTGTTACGACGATTGGGCGAAATCACGCAACAACAGAAAGCCAACTGACATCGGCTTTTTGGATTTTTCCAAGGCGTTTGACAGCGTACCGCATGAGCGTCTTCTTTTCAAGCTTGAGCGTCACGGTATCGACGGCAGTGCTCTCCAGTGGTTTCGTAATTTTTTAACCGGTCGGATGCAACGCGTCGTCCTGTGTGGTACTTGCTCGTCCTGATCTCCAGTTTTATCTGGATTACCCCAAGGAACAATCCTCGGACCCGTCTTTTTCATTTTATACGTGAATGTCATCTCGTCAGGTATTTCATCAACGGTTAAACTGTATGCAGATGATACCAAGGTTTACAGAGAGATCTCCGACATAGCTAGAGACACAAGTATCCTTCAGTCCGACTTATTCCACCTTAGAAATTGGTCTGAGGTCTGGCAGTTAAACTTCAATGCGAAGAAATGTGAAATTATGCGAGTTACACATAATCGTGATAAATCTGTCCCACATTACTCCCTCGTCCCGCGTGGAGAACGTCTAAACTCAGTGAGCTCTTTAAAGGACCTCGGCATCACAATCTCGCATGACCTCTCGTGGTCTTTACACGTTGTTGAGGTTGTCAATAAGGCCAATAAAGTTCTTGGTCTAATCAAGCGAACAATCGGTTCTGTAAACAAGGAAATCTTTTCCACACTGAAGGCTCTTGTGAGACCAATCCTCGAGTACGCTTCCCCTGTATGGTGCCCTTACCTAGTTAAGAATATTGTTCTCTTAGAGAAAGTTCAGAGAACAGCTTCTCGATTGGCCTTAGGTCAGCGAAGGGGAGAGATGTCATACGAAGATCGCTGCGAAATGTTACGGTGGTCGCAGTTGACTGATAGAAGGCTATATTTTTCTTTGATTGAATGCTATAAACTTGTATTCGGATTGAATAGCCTTTGTTTTTCCGATTTTTTTGAGTTCGCTTCAAAACGTACCAGGTCCAATCACAACTACAAACTGCAAGTTAAATCGACTAACTCCAATTGTTATAAATACTCTTCCTTGTTAAAATTATTCGTGAATGGAATGACCTGCCCGCCAATGTTGTTGAGATAGGAAATTTAAGACGTTTTAAAAAGCTCTTAAATCGTACATGCGTATTTCTTAGGTTTTTATCCATCTTAAATCTTAGATTTTATTCTTAAGCACATATTTTTCATTTTTATTTTTGGAAGTATATTTACATAGGGCAACCTCTTATACTTCCTTTTTAGGGTATTATTTGTATCGTTTATTTCTTATGATACCTTAAATAAAGTATGTATGAAAGTGTGTACGTACTTTGATGTCACAAACCGAAGTCTCTATTACTGATGGGTTAGCAAGATTTCTTACCCATGGGACTTTGCTAGTGCTCCTCTGTGCGCCTGCATCCGCAACTGACTTAAGGAGAGACGATGAAATTTTTTGTGTAGAAAGTGGCTGCATCTACTTCTCTTCTCTCTAACACCATGGAAACAAGAAGCCTCCTAATCTAACTATTTTAAATCGATGCATATATAAGCGCTCAACGTGTTAAAAAACTGATATTTATATGTCACTTATGTGCATATAGCAAATGTCTTGATAACTTTCAATTATATTCCTTTGAGAGAAAAAGGCATTCCTAATTCTTATCGAAACTCATTATGTACATGCATCTATGTATGTATGAGCATGACGCATTCAACCAAAGGAATACCCCTAAAACGAGGTTAAACGAAATTTTGCACATTGAAAAAATGTTATTACCTTCCCTATCTTGCCGATTATTACCTGAATTGACTTCCCGAAAGAACGGTTTCCCCTTCAACTGATTGCTTATTATGTACTCTACAGAATAAACATAGCTGGTGTCTGTACAGGGGTCTGTGAGAATCCCCTAAACGGTTCTTAAAAATTTTGCTTCGTGGAAAAGAGCTAGTCGATATTTTTCGTGCCCGACTCATAGAGCTTGTCTTAGTGAAACTAGTATTATTACAAAAAAAAATAAAACAAAAGCGTATTGCAATTTGTATTTAGAAAGTAATTACTTCTCGCCACATCATTGTCACAAAATGTAGCTAAAATGTGCTTGGAGAGTAACTGACAAACTACGGAAAAAAACAGTTGGTGAATAGAATTAACCTCCCATTGTCTTATCAGGCTGCCATGAAAAGTCTCGATCCTAATATCCAGAGAGTGACATTTGAGTACACGAAATTTGATATGCACCAAGTAAGTACCGTACCTGTTTTGATTAAGGGACGGACCATTAGAAAACTTATGGGGGGCGAAGTACAAAAAAAACATTCGCGCAAGGGAAAAGTAAATGAAAAAAAATTCATGCACGCCAATTAACCCTAAGAAATATTCATGCTACGGCCGTCTTGTTTGCCACCTTTACCGAAGAAGAAATTTTAGCGGCAAATAAAGCAGTTTTACCAACAAGTACAAGAGAGAGACAAGTTTGGCTTATGTCCCTTTCTACTTTTGGGTAGAAAATCATTTTCTGGCACAATTTGCAGCAAAGAAATCCCCGGAACCGCGTCAATTAAAACGAAAATAAAGCACTTAATACTGAGTAATGTCTAATATTTACAAATTAAAACCAACTGATTCGTTAAATATGTAAACAACGATCCCCCTAAGGGACGCCTTCCGTCATCCACCACTGTAACCTGCCCCTCCGAGGGATAGCTGTATACTATCCTATCCTCAAATAATAAAAAAAAACGAAACATGGGTTATCTTACAGCTTTTGCATGAAAGAAAGATTGGTGAATATTCCTGGCGGGAGCTTCTCGATCTTGCTTGAAGATAAATCCCTGCAGCAAAATTAAAGTGAAGTAAGTTAACCGCATCATGGAAATGGCCTGAGCAAAAAATATTCCACTGAAGATCTGAATTGATTAATTGCTTGCCAATGTAAATACCACATGGATCTTACACGAACAAATTAACGAACTAACAAAATAAAACAATCCGAGATGTTCAATTTTGGCTAACTACCTTACAAATTCGAGTTATTTTAGAACAATAGATAGAGGATATAATTGTATTTTAGTGACAACAACGACGATATTAATGATAATAATAATAATAATAATAATAACAATAATGATGATAATAATAATGATGATAATGATGATGATGATGATGATTATTAAAATCATTATAGGGGGACACCATAGGCTCATTTTTATGCATTTACTTAAAGTGTATGCTCGAAGTAAAACGACTGGTATCGACAGGTTTGTGAAATATTCATAGCTGGAAAAAAGAGAAGTGCATAATTTAAAGTGTTCACGTGAACGTGTAACACGCAGACTGCGAACAAAATGTTTATTCAAAAGTAACAAACGGTATCTGAATCAAACTTTGTTTCAGTGTGATTTTCAAATAATATGGAAATAAAACTGAGGGAACCTTTAGAAATTGCAACCAAATTTAATACCAAAACTTTCTGTACGTTTTTTTTTTTCGCCTCAAAAATCCTCGAAAACATTGCAGTTATAACCAAAATATATTAAAACGCGGAATGTGAAACCATAATTGCCAAAATTACATATATTGCTTAGTGCTCGTGCTTTTGTCGGGACACCTACGGGAGTGTCAAAATTGGAATTTTCGGACAATTTTGTGTCCAAGAATTCAGCACAGACACAAAACTTCACCAACTCGCATTTCAGAGGGGTAAACTTGGCAGACTGTAGTGTGTTATATGTATTGGGCGGAATTTTGAAAGAGCGCTTATATAAAAAAGATATAGAGCGTTAATTATAATTTCAGGGATGAAAGTCTTTGCTCATTTAAACAACTATATCTTGCTGACAAACTGTAAATTGCAAAATATGTCCAATACATGACACACTAGAGGTTTAGACAGGTTATCTACTAATAAAATCACAGAGTGCTGTATTCTATTCTTCCGGCAAACTTGGACATAAAATCACGATTTCCTAGTTTGGACAACTGTGACTTTAAGCATCGCTGTAAAGCGCGATCTAGTGATCTACCGAAAAAAGAAACATTTCTCCTAAACTTCCATCATTTCATAACGTCTCTGCAAAATCATATCTAAATCGCCTCTAAGAGAGCCGACATATAAGCGTTTTGAAAGATGAAGCACAAGCAAAATTTGGCTGATAGATAGGTGTCCCACATGGCCTTAAGTCAATTTTAGAACCGTAAAAGTATTGAAAAGCAGACGTTTTGAGCGCAAGCCCTTAGTTTGATCGAATCAAGGGATTCGAGAATGTGTTTGCATATGGGTGTGTAAAGGCAACGATATTCGAGGCCGCGAACATGACAAAGTGTAAAAAAAAAAATAAATTAGTCGATAGAACAGCGTTTATTATTGATTTTGTGGAGAATTTGAGTGGCTGCGATTTAAAAGACGAAGGTTTTACAAAGCTCTGTGATTCCCTGGTGTAAAAAAAAACCCTGAATGTGTTCACGGTGGCTTGAACAATCAGAACAATGCGGAAGGTTGAAAGCGCTACAATGCATCAGGTTTTGATGAATTTGACATTTGTCGTCCTGTAATCTCGCTGATTGACCCATGTGCATCTTATTCAACAGCGTGCCACAGCTTTAGATAACGTTTAAGAAGATGAATGCGTAAAAATTTCTCAGTTACATTGTGAATGAAAGGGCACGTTTCGCATTGTATACGCCCTCACTTGAAAGTCCCAGGTTGATCGTCGGTTTCAAAAGCGTTCATAACTAGAAAGCCACGTTCTTTTCTCGTTAAAATAAAAATAGTAGTAGTGAGAAAATATTTAATTTCTTTTGGGGTCATTTTGGAGCATTTGATAGTCTAACAAAACATAAATAGGGGTCCAAAGTTGTAAAATAAGAAAACAGGAGGCCAATTAACTTAAGGTAAAGTAGAAAATACACTTACAATTCAGTGGTTGTAGTTGGAATGCAGTTCCAGTTATTTGTTATGTTGCTTCGTCTACAGTCGTGTTCGTTAGTTAATTGGCCTAAACGTGTTATCGAACCTGTACTGTTACACAAATGCTTGCAATCTGCAAAAGGAATAGACGCTTGAATGAGGCAATTTGTAGGGGAATTTCTCAAGAAAGCGATACACTTCGATATGCATTATTAAAAGTCAATAACCAACTTTCATGTGTACACACTGACCAAAGGATGAAACCCAAATTTTGTATATTTTGGTAAATCTTTTTTTGTTTACAAACCTTAATGGACACAAATTACCCGTGTTCAAAACAATGGCGCAACATGTACAAGGGCAACTAGTCTAAATATTCTTGCATTTCTTTTTTCTCCGAATGGAAGTGAATCACCAACGAATAAAATAAGAACAAAATCCAACACCACTGTTTGTGCAAACTACTATAATCATCTACATTGAAATGAAATTTAACAGTATTGAATCCTTACCCACAACTGTTACTTCCACCGTTTTTGAATCACTTCCTTCTTCATTTTCTGCCAGTAGAGTGTATTGAAAGGTACCCGTCCGATTTAGTTGGAATCCTTTTATGACCAAACCGCCCTTCAAAGATATTGATGTATTCATTAGAGTCAAGTTAATCGGTGGGGTACCTTCCAGCAGAAACCAGAGATAATGCTCTGGTACAGTTCGCAACTCCTTCAACGGTACCCTTATCCTCGGCTTTTCTGAAAAAGAAAATTTAGCAGGTTTTAAGATGTCCCGATTTCAAGTCATATCAGGTTGCAAGTTAATTAAATCAGAGTTGATTAAATCTACTCAAATAAGACTCCCAAAAGATAAGTTATTACTCTCTTGTGGAACATCACGCTAAACGATACTCTAGAATTTTAGTAGCTAGATTGGAGGGTATTCGTGAGTTCGACGTTTGAGATACGTACGGGTATACTTTTAATTTTATACACTGTAACTGAAATTGGTTTTCCTTAAGTCAGACATGCCTCGTATTATCGTTTCAGGCCATCCCTTTGAAATTTAAGCGTTTCAATACTATCTCACATTGTTGTACAACGTCCCACTTTACAAAATCGGGAAACAATCGACTGATAGTCAGAAAGGACTGATAGAAAGAATACGGGGGAGGCGCATTTATGATATCACGTACTTGATTTGAATCGCGTCATCAAATCGTTGCGCATTTAAACTAAGTTTAACATCATATACCAATAAACCGTCAGTTTTCTTGAACTGTCAATACAAAAAGTTTAATCTAACGGTACTATAAAATTTTACTCCTACAACCTCCCAAAAAGTTTTTGACAACAAATAAGCACTTCAGGCTTGGGGTTCGTTTACATGACAGCGTTTTCTGGAGTCAACGCTGAAGGCACCTTCAAGTAAGGCCGCGGGGCCAGTAGTTGAATGGCATTATGTATTTTTGTTGTTTTGGTCACAGTTGGTTATTTCTGAAAAGGAAAGGTTTCCTTGATATACTACATTTAAACTACGTTTCTCGCATTCAATTCTTTTTTCATTCATTCAATTTTAACGAGACCGTCACAGGAAGGATTAAGTGTTACTGATCAAGAGGGAATAACACCTTAATCGTTTTTCTTTCACTGTTTTTTTCTTGGAAAAAAATAAAACAAAACTTTTTGGATTTGTAAGGTCTACGTTACTATGTAGCCCTCGCCATTTCCGTGTTTTCGTCATTCTGCACTCCAACGCATTCCAAGTTGAGTATAATTTTTGAATCGAAAATACTTAAATACGGTTCTGTACGCGTGCGTATTCGTTACATAGCTTTGCTTATGTCAATAAATAACAAGCTTCATTGCATCTTTATCACTTGATTTAAATTGAGCTACCGCGGGAAAAGTAAAAGGAAATATGTTAAAGGAGTAGTTTCAAAATTTGAAAGAAAACTTCGTTACCAAAGTATTCTTTTAAACGTTTCCTTAGTGTAAAATTTATTTATTTATCTTTATCGCTGACTGCTCTGTAAAATATTCCTCTGTTTTACAGTTTCTCTTTCGTTAAGCTTTCCTCTTTATGCAGTATTGAACGGTGACTGGCTTTAATCGTTACAATCAGAAGAACGTTTTTAATACAGTTTTAATTTATTAATTTACTTGAAGGTATGAAAAATTGTCATCGCTTTTGAGACGCACTCAGTTATTCCACATCAGTTGCGACGTCCAAGAGTATGAGGAGCTAATTAGCATTCTTAGGCAGTTCTCATTCTCTTATTAATATCTAATTACTTTCGCTTACCTTTTCTTGAACCTATAAAAGTTCCCTTAAAGTTACAAGGGGTCATGGAATACTCTTTTTGTAAAGTGAACATCATGAACCGACCACTTGTTTGTAAGATGAAGGGCTGTCTTGTCCCAGTAAAAACTCCCAGTACGGTATCATTATTCCTTTTTCCGTCATGGGCCTGGATCTTAGCTTGACCATTCCAGGCTTCATTAGGTAGCCAGGGATAATTAGATAGACGAAATATCGTAAATTTCAGTTTGACGGTGTGGTTAGATGGTACAGTGATGATCCATGTACATCGGTAGTAGTGCTTAGCTCCACTGGAGCTGATGAACCCACTGGAGCCATTAACAGAAACCAAACACGGTTGAACAACTGCAAATAAATGTGCAAAAATCAATGTTAAAAATCCCACAAATTTTATACTCCCTTGACACGCTCAAAATCTTTTTACAACTGAAAATTGTCTTCGGTTCCGTAGCATGAGATGAGAATTGATTTTTTTGGGATATTATATCGGCTGATGATTTTTTGTAAACGTAAGCTCTATTAATAGTGATCATTCATGATAAACAGATCGCTAAAAAGACTTCAGAGTAACTAATTTGCAACATTTGTTTGACTTTTGTCACTTTTGTTATTTTAATGAGTCAAAAATAATATATGTTTATGACAAAAGCCAAACAAACGAGAGGAATTCGTTAATAATTATTTCATTTTGTTTGTCTGAGTCTCTGAGTTCTTTAAAAAGTAGCGCCATTGGTAACGAGGTAAACCAATGCAGAAAACAAAGGAAATCAGTTGCATTTTGATTGGTTGACAAACATAGAGACTCACAAAGAGCCAATCAAACGCAACCGTTGAGAACAAACTCCCCGCTCATAGTTATAGTTGAAAGCATAACATTTGTCGACGTTGCGTTTTAGAATGAGGGGGATTAACTAACTGTTATGTAAATGATTAATGAAGTTTTGGATTGATTCAATTGTGCTTACTTAAGAAGCAAGTTTGGTTTACGGCAAGGTTCTGGAAAGGTACGCTAGCAAGGAAAGACTCGCTATTTAGTAATTGGACCAATTTGAATGGACTGAGTAACCCGTCCTAGATTATCTTACAACTTTTTAAAGGAAACAATAAAAAAGGTTGTTGGTAATACGTAAAGATCTAATACTGATGAAATATGGTTTTTCTTTGATAGATTTCCCAGACAGATAATTTTAGCGACGGATATACGTCATGCTACAAGAAAATAAGCACACATGGAGTAATGTTGTTATATATAAATGTATAACAACAATTTCTGCATTTCGATTGGCTAACAGCGTATCAATTTATCCCCAACATTTTGCTTGTCACCGACAAATTTGTTGGTCCACATTTATTATCAACTGCACTCAAAATAATGTGATTGGCTTCAGTTTTAATGAATTATTTTGTTCTAGACCCAAGCTGCTTTGTTATGACTACAAAACAAGGCGAAAAAAACCTTACAAGAGAACAATACAAACGAATCATAATTTTACTCGCCTTCAAATGTCCACACTGTCACCAAAATTAATCCAAGGAAAATTCTTCCTTGCACTGACATCTGCAAAAAAAAAAGTGGATGTTTGTTTTACTGTTCTTGAGTTTGAGAACAATAATAATTTTTAACCCGCAAATGCAAAAGCTTTACATGAATGCTGCTAATCATTCTGGCCCTCATCTGTTCTTTGCGCATCTGTGGTACTGTACACATCACTGATGTTGACTCTCTCGCAATAAAGTAAACACAGTACTATTAAGTAGTAACAAAGTACAAGTTATTAGGTCGTTAATGTTACTTTATTGATTCTCATGAGCTCGGAAAATTTCTCAATTGCTTTGGCTGTCTGGTAAAAAAACGAATAATTACAAATGAATAACTATTTAGTGGTTAAACATATCCACATTACGTTCAATGATTCTTCGTCTACCATTCTTAATTAAATTGGAATTTAAATTGGAAAACCGTAGCAGCTGGAGAAAAACCGCTCAGGGCAAAGGAAAGAACCAACAACAAACACAATCATTTATGGCGTCGACACCGGGATCTCAACCCGGACAACATTAATGGGAAGCGAGTGCTCTCACCACTGCACCAACCTTGCTAGTAACTCACTCAAAAGGTAATGGCGCAATCCATTGCAACTGGCAAGAAGGGACCGAGATAGAGAAGCATTATTAGAAAAGTGATGGGGAACGCAAGTTAACATGAGTGGAAAAAAATTATGTAGAACCTTCCAAGTAGTCAAGAACACTTCTTTCCACCCTTCTTTTAAGCCTTCAGTCAATGAAGGTAAAGTATCTCACCAAATGGGAAATTGGTAACAAACAGGAAATTCAAATCGGATGGTAAGAAACGCAGCGAAGGACTTGGTTTCAAAAAGCTATCAGCTACGGAGGCGTTGGAAGCCACTATATCAAGCCTTAAACCGTGAAAGGCATTTGGCTAAGACGAAATCGTTATTGATCACAAATCAAACACTTTGAACGTAAGCCCTGTTGCAGAAAAATTAAAACATAATAAATTTAAAATCTGACATCAGAACTTAAGCTTATGTGATAGCGAAGCGCGCGCGTGGACGAAGCCCCATAGCTAAGGAAATGTGGTAATCTACCCATCCGAGAAAATTTGTTGATCACGTGACTGTACGCCGACAGTCTGTCCGCACCACAGGGAAACCCATGTTTACTCTCACACTTTCTAGTTAGTTTGGGAGCCCAAGAGAGAACTAATTGCACATCAATGTTGTGATCAATTGACAGCTGTCAAAACAGGATATCCGCTGACCAGTATCATCTGACCGCACCGTGGGTTCAAGTGTCGACCCATTGAGGTCGAGTACTTTTTTGAAGTTATTTGCTGACAAATTACCAGTTTCAAATGATCTCAGGCTTAAGTTTGTTTTTTCCAATGATTCATATGAAATCTGTTGTGTTTATGTCACTATGGCCCCGCACTGTTAAGATTTTGATTTGAAACTGACCTCGGACGCGAAAATTCAGCCATTTTTTTAAAAAAATACAGGCGGGTAAGACCTTTTCTTACCATGGTCACGCGTTGGTCACGCTCTACGTCCAATTTTTGTACTCTGGTTGGTCAAAATTTGACAGGTGAGTTCATGCGTAAAATTCATGCAGCATCTTGAAAGTTGTTTACTTTGACAGCTGAAGCTGACAGAGTTTTGTGTCAACTTGTCATGTTTTCAACTGTCTTTTTCCACTGGGTGTGCAAAATGAAATACAGCTGCTATCAAGAGTCTTCTGTTATCCATGGCTGGTTTGTTTATTGCGTTTTTGGTTGAGAAATGCGTCGCTTGTCAAAACTCGGTATTCTGATTTCGGATGGCACCTTTTTCGTTTTTCACCTTGCTTAATGCGTAAGACGGTTTAAAAGTCTCAAGCAACTGTGGCCTTCCATGATATCTTTCAGGAACTGAATCTCGAATGGTAAGCCTGAGTAATTATTGTATTTGATGTTCGTTTTTGTGTTTATGCGTTAAGTTTATGTAAGATGTAAGATTTGAGTCAATGATCTAACCTAGTATCAGGTTTGATACAAGCTTACAGAACTTTAAAAGGCCTTCAGATATATTTTCTCACCGCAAATAGGAAGAAAGCGTTCCGAAGAATATTTACATTGCCAGAAATCGTGGACATTTCGCGCCCGTGATTAATTGTCAGCGGAATCTCATTTTCAAAATGACAAACAAAAACGATCGTAGTCAGGGAAAGCGTATCCTCTGCGATTTTTTAAATAATTTGAGCTCTGTGGATCTGTTTTACGAAGAAAAAAGCTGGAATAAATCACCTTGCAAGAAAATGTTAGGTTTATACTCGGCCGAGCGGCTGATAGCAACAAAACAGTACGCAAATGTACCTTTCGTGACATTTTCGTGACAATTTTGTTTTAAAACCAAGCCTGGTAGGCTAATCGAGGATTTTTGAGTGCCTGGAACCTAGTTTATATCCCGTGAAGCATCTCTGGAGTTGTAGCAACAAACAAAATGGCAATTCGGTGAGGTTTGGAGTTGTGAAACTTTGTCCGACCGAAATGTGTCATTCGCAACTATGGCGTCCATTACTGGACTACAGATGGAAAACTGAGGGAAATAATGCGCCTTTGGAAGTATTTTGCAGTGCCAAAATCGTCCTTTTTACGACTGTTTAGGAAACATCTTACATCGCAGAAGTGATATCGAGTCGTGCAAATTTACTTCATTGAAGGGTTTATCCTCTAATCGACGAGTATTTCGCATGACTTCGGCAAGATTTTAAGACAATGTATGGAGAAATGGAGCGTACAACGAGAGATAAAAGTGGCCACTTCGGGAAGTAAGTAAACCTACTTCTAATTGGCCATTTTTAACCCAGATGCGAAGGTTACACAGCACTTAACATGTTTCGAGTCGTGCATCGAAGACCCGTAAGCTCATAATCGATATATTTGAACAAGTTTCCTTATCTCCATACATTTTCTTGTACGAATTCGCAACCATTATGGCCTTAGTGAGCACGCGCAAGCGCCATCTTGTCCCTAATTTCTGGCAATGGTTACAAATTTGGCCGTAGAAAGAAAACTTTGAGCGATTTTCTTGCGTCGAGGAGTTCATCTTTGAAAAAAGCAAACACCGGGAGGCCGGCTGAAATTAAAAAAGAAAATAAACTTAAGCTTAGCTTTAAGCTTTAAGACTCAGAATTTTTAGAGACACTTTAATACTTGTCTTCGAGAATGAAAATTGTTGTCTCTGTAAATGTTTCACCCAATTATATTTCTTTTACTGATTGTTAGTAGGCTCTCTTGCAATTTTAATCGCTTGTCCGTGCCGTTTGTTTTCATTGTTCATGAACATCGATTGCAGGAGTACTTAAAAATGTCGCGCGTATCAAACGCTTTATAAGATTACACATCGTCAATAATGATAATAAATTCGTTATTATGTTGAAGCGTATCTCTATTAAAGTTCATTCAAACACGCGACCACACTGACAGCTCGCACTAAAATTGAGAACCGGGTGGCCGTATGGGTGATTTTGGAAAGTTTTTGAACGGTTTCGCTAAAATCC